TTCATCTATCCTCAGCTTATGCACCGCAGTCAGAGGCTGAGAAGGAGTACATGTCGAGAGTCCCATATGCTAGTGCAGTAGGTAGCTTGATGTACGCTATGGTATGCACTAGACCTGATCTTGCACATGCTGTTAGTGTTGTCAGCAGGTTTATGATACAACCTGGGAAGGAGCATTGGCAGGCTGTGAAGAGGATCTTCCGGTACCTTAAGGGTACACCTGATGTGGGGATTAGCTTCGGAAGTGATACAGAGTGCTTGGTGTCTGGGTATTCTGACTCGGACTATGCTGGAGATGTTGACACGAGGAGATCGATGACCGGTTATGTATTCACTCTTGGGAGTTCTGTAGTGAGCTGGAAGGCAACTCTGCAGTCGGCGGTGACATTGTTTACTACTGAGGCAGAGTATATGGCGTTGACAGAAGCTGCGAAAGAGGGAATATGGTTGAAGGGACTGGTTGGTGATCTGGGTCTACATCATGATCAGGCAGTGGTGTATTGCGACAGTTTGAGTGCAATATGCTTGGCCAAGGATCAAGTCCACCATGAGAGGACTAAGCACATCGATGTGAGGTATCATTTCTTGAGGACAGAGAAGAGGATTAAGGTGAAGAAGGTTGGCACCGCGGATAATCCTGCTGATATGTTCACGAAGCCGGTTCCACATGGCAAGTTCCAACACTGCTTGGACTTGCTGAATGTCTTGAGTGGGTGACTCCGCCCTACGGGGCATTGATGTGACTTGAATCGGACTATCAGCCGCTACGACTGGTAATCGGGGGTCTCGCTGGCCGGCCCACGGTTAATCGGGATCTCAATGTTATTTGGGTTTGGGTTCTGGGCCTGGTCTGTAACCGTTTCCTTTGCAATATTGGATTAGGTTTAGACCCACATGGAGAAGTACTATAAATACTTCTCATACTCCTCTGTAATCTGTAATCTCCTCGATATAGTGAAACTGGCTCTCTCTCGCCCGTGGACTAGCTAGCACACATCGTGTTAGTGAACCACGTAAATCGTGTGTCTGTGTTCTTTCGATTCTCTTTGTCGATTCCGGCGATTTTCCGATTCGTAGCAACGCGTTTATAACAGGCTGGGCTGGTCGTCGACCGCTATATGAGAGGAGGTCGAGAACTCCCTTGGACTGAACCCACCGCTTCCACCACTTGGCCCACAGCTGCAGCTGAAAATGTTTGGGCGTGTCAAGAGAGAGGGGAAAGGAATTGCGGCCGGCGGCGCTCTTGTGTTTGTTTTGGCGTATTAGGCTCCTAATAATATATTTATATCTGTGTATAACCTGAAGGGGTTAAGGGCTTGGAAGGGCCGAGCAGTAATAGTTGCTTAGTTTTAGGGTTAGCTAGAGTTAAGTAATTAATCCTAATAACTAATTGAGGGTAAATTTGGAAATTCATGAAAATTCTAGGTATCGGGTGTGACACAATTCATCGCCTTTGCCCATCAATTTGCCGCCCATCTCGAAATACTGTCTACAGAATCCTAACTTGTTCCCCAACATCGTTTCTTAAGGCCGTTACCACGAGTTTTGTATCGGGACTAAGTTTCATCCTCTTTATTGTTTATTTCTTTCTCTTTTTTCTTTTTGTTGAGCATGATCACAATTGAACCCAAACACATGGGTTTCTTAACTTTAACTCAAACATGACCGTTACCGCGAGTTTTGTTTCGGGATCGAGTTTCATACTCTTTAGTGTTTTTTTCTTTCTCTTTTTCCTTTTTGTTGAGCATGATCACAATTGAACCCAAACACATGGGTGTTCGCTAGGTTTACATCTATTGTCCATTGTGTTTCCCATAACAATTATTGCCTACTAGGTTTTCAGCTCTCTATTGCAGCAATTATCCACTTTTCACACCATTTTGCAATCAAACTCGAAACACTGTCAGTGGAATTTTGAGTTGTACTCTTCCACTGTTTTCCATTGCCGCGGCTAAAGATCTATACTAGATATCCTCTGTCCATTCCTCAACATTGGTCACCAATTTAAAACCTTCTCAAAACACTGTCAACCTTCCACCATTTTCCAATGCCTCTACCGAAAATCCATACCATATCTACTCAATGTTGGCGAGTTTTGTATCGGGGCCGAGTTTCGTCCGCTCTAGTGTTTTTTCTTTCACTTTTTCCGTTTTGTTGAGCTTGATCGCAATTGAACCCAAATCCATGTCTATTCAACATAATTCGATCCGGTCAAAGCAACTTGAAACCGACTTTATCATTTACAAATTTCTCCTTTTCTTCTTCTTTTGGTTAGGAAGACAATTGAACCCGAATATAAGGTATGGACGAGTGTTGTATTGTGAGCGAGCTTTATCTGCTTTTATAGTTGGCAGGTTGGGCCAAGTGTTAATTTGTTAAAAACATTTTCATAGCGAGTGAACATTAACCAGTTTTAGATCGAAAGAGAGTTTTGTACACTTTAATGTTTTTTTTATTTCTCGTTTTCCTTTTCGTTGAGAATGACAATTGAACTCTGACCCATTGTTGATGCATTTTATATCGAGGGCGATTTTTATCCGATTTTGTAATTGACAGGTTGGGTAACTTGTGAATTTGTTAAAACTGGGTTGACCCGGTCAAAGGGAGTTGAACGCAGTATTGAGAGTTTTATCCGCTTTGGTATTTTTATCTTTTTCATTTTGGTTGAGAATGATAATTGAGTCCAAAAGCATGGTATAAAATTTAATTCGAACCAACCAAGTGACCTAAACCCAGTTTTACAGGTTTTCGGCGGGAGCGAGTTTTATCTGTTTTTGTAATTATAGGCGGGTTGTGTTAGGTGTGAATATTCCCAAAACTAAGTTCAACCAGGTCATAGAGAGTTGAACCTGGTGTTGAGTAGTTTTGAGTCCGTAGCGAGTTTTAGCTTTAGTGTTTTTCATTTCGCTTTTCCTTTTGTTTGAGCAAGACAATTGAACCCAAATCCATGGGTTTCAACCTAATTTGACCTGATCAATGCGAGTTGAACCTCATCAAACCTGCAATTAGTTCAAATTTTTCATAAAGGAGAACCACGATTACCTCAAACCCAAAAAAAAAATAAAGCAAAAGAGTACGACGACTATGTTTGGCGCGAATTTTAAAAGTTTTATTTCAAAAGTTGAAGTCAAGCCATACACTTCTAAAGTTTCGCTTTCTAAAAAACTTAAGTTTTTCATAATTTAAAAGTTAGAGTAGGATCAACTACTGGCCATACAAATTGAAACAATAGTGTCATGAAAGAAGTTTAAACATAAATAATCTATTCGACGACCCTTCTACCTTATGCAAGTTTATTGACCATTTGCTATTGTAAATAACAAACCTATGAAAAGAATTATTAAGAATAGTAATTTTAGTACGACGATTAGCAACTCTTTTTTATAACTGTCACATCACCCACATTTTAATTATATGTTGCCTATGTTTGGCCCGGCTTTTAGAAGTGCTTTTCGGTTTCAAAAGTTGAAGCAAGGCCAAAAACTTCTAAAAGTTCGACTTTTGAAAAGTCGAAAAGCGGTTTTGTATAACATAAAAACAGAAGCTCCGATTTGGAGCTTCTGCGAAAAGCTATTTTGAAAATACAAGATTATCCTAACCATATTTTAATTTTCTTTCATTTATATCATTTTAAAAATAAAATAAGTATTAAATCATATTATTTAATATAAAAGAAGTTTAAAAAGACCCATTTTGATTATATTTTATTGTTTAGAATTATTATGCATGGTTTATGGTTTATATTATAAGTACTTTATAGTCATTTTACACAACCTCTCACATTAAAAAGTATTTTAAGAAATTTTCAATCAAACACTCAACTGCTTTTTTTGAAAAAATACTTCTATAAAAGCTCAAGTGAGAAGCTGTTTCTGCAAAAGATACAGCAGGGCCAAACTGAGCTGTTAGTAAGTTTGTTTTGCGTGCTTCATGGTGAAGCACAATACTGCTTTAAGAATTATATTAGTCCCAGAATAAACTTTTGAGAATTATCTATAACATGTATGATATCATAGTTAAAATTAGTCTCTGTATATTTATGTGCAAAATTCTTTTTTTTCATTTATCCGATTAAAACGGACTAAATCGAGTTAAATCGATCTGATCATTAACCCTTTACTCACTTGTTCGACCTTAACAACAGACAAAATCAGATAGACAACCTTCTTAGAGACGGAAAAACACCAATCAAAGAAAGGCCAATTTATTCATGAACCAAATCCTTTTTTTCATATGGTAAAACCAGCAAATTAAGTAATCAACAATAGAGATGATCCAGTTCACCCTCACTTCACCTTATTAAATGCGATACGCAGGTGGATAGCTCATGATTGGATAGTTCCATTGGTGCATACGTATCGTGAAGGGAATAAAGTCGCGGACTGGCGCTCGAAGCACAGTCTCGTCTATCCATTTAGTACGTATGAGTTAACCAAACTTACACGAGAACTGGAGAGAACGCTTCGGGAGGACATCATTGGAGCCAGCTTTCCGAGACAGGTGTTGATCGATACATGATGACCGATGGAAATTACCTCCTGTATAGATGTGTTTTTGCTTTTGATTAGCTGTTAAAACCACGTCCCAGCTTCTGTCCGGGGCGTATCTGTGTTCACATGTAACCTCCTCCCAATAAAAAAAAGTAATTAACCAATTTCTAAAATCGATAATTCTTATTAATAAATAAATAAATAAATAATCAAAAGTGCTTAATAAAGAAGAAAGGTTAATGTAGTTATAATTTAGTTTGTTGCCATATGTGCAAGCGCGAGTTTACACTATAAATAGTAGTAAATTAAATATATTGGTCGCATTTTATACTAAATTTGGTCAACCTACTCATCACTTCCATCCACTGATTGGCCAGTTTACTCTGTTTACTAAGGTATGTAAATTTGCAATAATTTATTTAATTAATGTAAGGATATCTTAACATAGCTCATCCCCTTATAAAAAGGCAGACAAAACTGCAAATAATTTCACTCACAAAAAAACCGAAGCATGGCTTCCAACCAAGCTAACCACCACCATGCCAATATTTCTACAACCCTTCTACTCTTCTCCTTGCTCCTTGCCAACCTAGACCTAACAGGTGACTTTTATCAATCACCTAATTTGTTAATCGTGGCAAAATATAACCGTAGGACAATTTTTCAACTAATCAGTCACTAATTGGTTTCAGGTGCCCAAATTGGCGTCACCTATGGGATGCTAGGCGACAACTTACCACCACCAAACGAAGTCGTAGCACTATACAACCAATACAACATCCATCGGATGCGACTCTACGACCCAAATCCAGCCGTCCTCCAAGCCTTAAGGGGATCCAACATTCAGCTAATGTTGGGTCTCCCCAGCAACAGCCTCCAGTCAATCGCCACCAGCCAGGACGTCGCCAATGCGTGGGTCCAGAACAACGTCCTCAACTACATAGACAGCGTCCAGTTTCGTTACATCGTGGTCGGAAATGAGGTCCGACCGACCGACCCGTTCTGCCCTTTCCTGTTCCCGGCGATGCAGAACATCCAGACCGCGATCGAGACCAAGTGCCAAGCTGCATTAGAATGTTCGGCGGCGAATCGAATCAAGGTTACCGCGGCCTTTGGGTACGGGGTCATGAACGTGTCCTACCCACCGTCACAGAGATCTTTCAGGGAAGATTATGGGTTCTTTCTGAATCCCATACTTGGGTTCCTGACCAAAAACCAAGCGCCCTTATTGTTAAATGTGTATCCGTATTTTGCTTATGTTAATAATCCAGGTCAGATCCGGCTCGATTACACTCTGTTCACTGCCCCACCCGGTTTGATACCCGACCCGCCGCTCAGCTACAGTAACCTTTTCGATGCCATGATGGATGCGGCGTACTCCGCTCTGGAAAGAGCAGGGGCTGGGACACTGAGCGTCGTGGTGTCGGAGACTGGTTGGACGACGGCCGGAGGTGGAGCTGAAACGACGGTGGATAATGCGAGGATTTACAACAATAATTTGGTCCGCCATGTCAAGGGAGGGACGCCTAAGCGGCCGGGAAAACCAATTGAGACTTACATTTTTGGGATGTTCGATGAGGATCAGAAACAGCCAGAATTGGAGAAGCATTGGGGACTATTTAGTCCCAATAAGCAGCTTAAGTATCCAATTAATTTAAATCATTAATCATCTTTTCAGCCTGATCATTAGATTGATTTGTTTAATTGGATTGGAGATATATCATATGTTATTGTGTATCGAATCAATGAAATAAAGCTTACGATTGATACCTATTTGAAGTTCACCTAATGTACTGTGTCAAATTCAAATATCATTTTCACTTAGACTTCATAGGATGTGAAGTTGAACCATGCATATTCTCGTGTTTGTATTCATTTAGCTTTTATTTAAATCAAATTTCACTTGATATCATTGTTGATTTTCTGATGAAATATTTCTCAATACGAGTAGTGACAAAACTGTATTTGAGAAGACTAGAGTTATTGTTACCAGTAGCGATTATGGTGGAGATGCAGCAGAATGAATCAGCTTCTCTGGATATTTTCCAAGAAGTATTTAAAAAAAATAACTGTTGAGTGTTAAGCTGAAAAACTATCATAATTACTTTCTAATATAAGAGGTAATGTAAAATGTTTATAAAGTATTTCTAACATAAAATATGAATACAAATTTGAAAATAAAAAAGTATTTCATATGGATCACGGTAGATTTATTTCATATTAAAAAAAAATGTTCAATTTATTTTTTTAAATGATATTAATAAAAAAAATTATGTTTTCTAGAAAATAATAATATATGGTAATGACAATTTTGTATTTTCAAATCGGAGCATCTACTTTTAAATTATGAAAAACTTAAGTTTTTTAGAAAGCGAAACTTTAGAAGTGTATGGCTTGACTTCAACTTTTGAAATAAAACTTTTAAAATTCGCGCCAAACATAGTCGTCGTACTCTTTTGCTTTATTTTTTTTTGGGTTTGAGGTAATCGTGGTTCTCCTTTATGAAAAATTTGAACTAATTGCAGGTTTGATGAGGTTCAACTCGCATTGATCAGGTCAAATTAGGTTGAAACCCATGGATTTGGGTTCAATTGTCTTGCTCAAACAAAAGGAAAAGCGAAATGAATAACACTAAAGCTAAAACTCGCTACCGACTCAAAAACTACTCAACACCAGGTTCAACTCTCTATGACCTGGTTGAACTTAGTTTTGGGAATATTCACACCTAACACAACCCACCTATAATTACAAAAACAGATAAAACTCGCTCCCGCCGAAAACCTGTAAAACTGGGTTTAGGTCACTTGGTTGGTTCGAATTAAATTTTATACCATGCTTTTGGACTCAATTATCATTCTCAACCAAAATGAAAAAGATAAAAATACCAAAGCGGATAAAACTCTCAATACTGCGTTCAACTCCCTTTGACCGGGTCAACCCAGTTTTAACAAATTCACAAGTTACCCAACCTGTCAATTACAAAATCGGATAAAAATCGCCCTCGATATGAAATGCATCAACAATGGGTCAGAGTTCAATTGTCATTCTCAACGAAAAGGAAAATGAGAAATAAAAAAAACATTAAAGTTTACAAAACTCTCTTTCGATCTAAAACTGGTTAATGTTCACTCGCTATGAAAATGTTTTTAACAAATTAACACCTGGCCCAACCTGCCAACTATAAAAGCAGATAAAGCTCGCTCACAATACAACACTCGTCAATACCTTATATTCGGGTTCAATTGTCTTCCTAACCAAAAGAAGAAGAAGAGGAGAAATTTGTAAATGATAAAGTCGGTTTCAAGTTGCTTTGACTGGATCGAATTATGTTGAATAGACATGGATTTGGGTTCAATTGCGATCAAGCTCAACAAAACGGAAAAAGTGAAAGAAAAAACACTAGAGTGGACGAAACTCGGCCCCGATACAAAACTCGCCAACATTGAGTAGATATGGTATGGATTTTCGGTAGGGGCATTGGAAAATGGTGGAAGGTTGACAGTGTTTTGAGAAGGTTTTAAATTGGTGACCAATGTTGAGGAATGGACAGAGCATATCTAGTATAGATCTTTAGCCGCGGCCATGGAAAACAGTGGAAGAGTACAACTCAAAATTCCACTGACAGTGTTTCGAGTTTGATTGCAAAATGGTGTGAAAAGTGGATAATTGCTGCAATAGAGAGCTGAAAACCTAGTAGGCAATAATTGTTATGGGAAACACAATGGACAATAGATGTAAACCTAGCGAACACCCATGTGTTTGGGTTCAATTGTGATCATGCTCAACAAAAAGGAAAAAGAGAAAGAAAAAAACACTAAAGAGTATGAAACTCGGTCCCGAAACAAAACTCGCGGTAACGGTCATGTTTGAGTTAAAGTTAAGAAACCCATGTGTTTGGGTTCAATTGTGATCATGCTCAATGAAAAGAAACAAGAGAAAGAAATAAACAATAAAGAGGATGAAACTCAGTCCCGATACAAAACTCGTGGTAACGGCCTTAAGAAACGATGTTGGGGAACATGTTAGGATTCTGTAGACAGTATTTCGAGATGGGCGGCAAATTGATGGGCAAAGGCGATGAATTGTGTCACACCCGATACCTAGAATTTTCATGAATTTCCAAATTTACCCTCAATTAGTTATTAGGATTAATTACTTAACTCTAGCTAACCCTAAAACTAAGCAACTATTACTGCTCGGCCCTTCCAAGCCCTTAACCCCTTCAGGTTATACACAGATATAAATATATTATTAGGAGCCTAATACGCCAAAACAAACACAAGAGCGCCGCCGGCCGCAATTCCTTTCCCCTCTCTCTTGACACGCCCAAACATTTTCAGCTGCAGCTGTGGGCCAAATGGTGGAAGCGGTAGGTTCAGTCCAAGGGAGTTCTCGACCTCCTCTCATATAGCGGTCGAAGACCAGCCCAGCCTTTGAGTTCCCCTTAATACAAGAATGAGTTTGTGAGCTTTCAACTTGATTTCCTCTTCTCTGTGGTTTCCTTTTATATATCAAAACAAGAACAGTCCAAGTCATTGGAAGCTACAGGTGTACAAAGGAAAGACATGGAGTTAAGGGCTTAAAGCCTTATGGGCCGTTCAGGCCTAGAGACAGAGTTATGGGCCAATTCAATTGATTCTAAATGAGGGCCCGTTGTATCAAGTTCTGCAGCTTTATCTTGTTCCCATTCTTCTTCAACACTCGAAATCTCTTTCTCTTTGTCGACATAAACCAGAGAAGCCATGGACAAAGGTTGAAAAGGTTCATCCTCTGTTACTCCCCCACAAGCGGGAGGGCATAAAGAATGCAATCCCAGCTTGGAGTAGAGTGCATAAAACGCTGAGGGGCCCAAGGGTTTGGTGAATAAATCGGCTAGCTGATGGGAGGAAGGAACATAGCTCGTAGAGATGATGCGGCGTTGTAATTTCTCACGAATAATATGGCAGTCAAGCTCGATGTGCTTCGTCCGTTCATGGAAAACAGGATTGGCGGCAATGTAGAGGGCTGATTTACTGTCGCAATAGAGAAGTGCCGGTTGGGGATGAGAAATCCCAAAATCTCGAAGGACAAACAGGAGCCATTGAAGCTCGCATGTGGTATAAGCCAAAGCTCTGTATTCAGCCTCCGCTGAAGATCGAGAGATCGTCGTTTGCTTTTTTGATTTCCATGAGACGAGGGAGTTGCCGAGGAAGGTGCAAAACCCGGAAACGGATCGGCGGCTGTCAGGGCAACCTGCCCAATCGGAGTCGGAGAAGCCATGAAGTTGTAAATCAGAAGAGGCTGGAAAGAACAGCCCCTGGCTGGGATCACCTTTGAGATATCGAAGCAATCGATGAGCAGCCCGGAGGTGAAGGAGACTCGGACAATCGAGGAACTGGCTTAACTGTTGGGTGACGAAGCTGATATCGGGTCTCGTAGTCATTAGGTACACTAATTTACCAACAAGATGGCGATAAGCAGTAACGTCAACTGGTGGTGCGCCATCATGAGCAGAGAGGCGAGTTTTTGGCTCCATTGGCGTGCTAACAGGTTTCGAGTCAAGGAAGCCTGTCTCATGAAGAATTTCCAAGGTATACTTTCGTTGACTTAGATGAATGCTTGTAGGACTCCTTGCCACTTCCAGACCCAAGAAAAATTTTAACTCCCCAAGATCTTTGATATGAAAGGCACGGTCAAGGTGAGCTTTCACCATAGAAATTTCTCCCATATCAGTTCCTGCTAAAATCAGATCGTCCACATAGATGAGGATGGCAGTGAATGAATTACCTTTCTGTTTGGTGAAAAGTGAGTGATCAGAATGACTTTGAATGTATCCCAGGTGAATTAAAGCTTGAGAAAGCTTGGCAAACCATTGTCGAGATGCTTGTTTGAGGCCGTATAGGGATTTCTGCAGCTTACATACTTTCTTTGCATCTGCAGGATCAATGACTAATCCAGGTGGGAGAGCCATGTAAACCTCCTCGTGCAAGTCCCCGTGGAGGAAGGCGTTATGGACATCTAATTGTTGAAGATGCCAACCCTTAGCGGCAGCAATGGCGAGGAGCACTCTAATAGTGGTGATTTTAGCCACCGGTGCAAAGGTATCAGTATAATCCAAGCCTTCTTGTTGAGTGAAACCTTTTGCCACGAGTCTAGCTTTGTAACGTTCAATTGAACCGTGTGATTTGAATTTAATACGATATACCCATTTGCATCCTATGGTGTGTTTTCCAGGAGGTAAATCAACCAAGACCCATGTTTGGTTTTGATGGAGAGCAAGTAACTCTTGTTGCATAGCATCGATCCATTGTTGAATTTTACAAGCTTCCTTGTAGAACCGAGGTTCAATGATGCTACTAATCCAAAGAGCAAAATGCTGCAAAGTTGGGGAGAGGTTATTATAGGAAATAACGGTGGAAAGACCATGAGAGGTGGCTGTCACTGGATGTTGAGAAGCTTGTACATGGGGAGCAGCATTGGTATAGCCAAGATGAGAGAAGAGACTGCAGTGGTAATCATTAAGGTAAGAAGGAGGTCTAGTTTGTCGGTCAGATTTTCGTTGCAATGGTGGGCTAGAGTTAAGAACTTCTCTTTCAGCACTTACTATTGTAGGTGGAGGGCTTGCTGATTCTGTAAAGGAACTAGAAGGCTGAGAATCGGAAGGTTCGTGGGGCTGTGTGGTGTGAAAGGGAGGAGATATAAAGGAAGAATCTGGTGATAAAGTGTAGCTGATTGGAGTTAAAGTAGCAACAGGTCTGTCCAAGTCAGAATCAGGGGAAGGAATGGATTGGAATGGAAATTGATGCTCATAAAAATGCACATCACGTGATACAAAGGTATTATGTGAATGGATGTCATATAATTTGTAGCCCTTGGTTCCAAGAGGAAACCCCAAAAACACACACTCTCTAGCTCTAGAGGTGAATTTAGAACGATGGCTTGACAGAGTAGAGGCATAAACAAGACATCCAAAGACTCTAAGTTCTTTTAAATTTGGTGGTTTGTGGTGCAGGCATTCGAAGGGGGTGCTGTTTTGGACTATAATAGAAGGGAGCCTATTGATCAAGTATACAGAATGTCTCACACAATCGCTCCAAAAACTTAGAGGTAAACCACCTTGGTACTTAAGAGCTCGAGCAACTGGTAGGATGTGTTGGTGTTTTCGTTCAACCCGGCTGTTTTGTTGGGGGGTTTCTACACAAGATGTCTCATGAACTATCCCCTCTTTGTTGAAAAAATCACTCATTTTGAATTCCTGTCCATTGTCACTTCTTATTTTTCTCACTGTTTTCCCAAACTGTCAAGCAGCATAAGCACAAAAAGTTTGTATATGCTGCCTAGTTTCAGATTTGTTTTTCATCAACATAATCCAAGTGAAATGTGTATGGTCATCGACAAGGGTGAGAAAATATGAAAAACCATCATAAGAGGGAATGGGATTAGGGCCCCAAATGTCAATATGTACTAAGGCAAAAGGTTCTGAACTAATAGATACACTTATAGGAAAGGAAAGTCTTCTTTGTTTGGCAAAATGACAAATAGCACACTGTTGTGATGCATTAGTGACTATGCTAGGCTCCACACTGCTCAAAATACTAGCTCTAGCATGTGACAAATGTCCCAAACGGAAATGCCACAAATCAAAATTCCTGGGTGATTGTGATTGACTAGTGAGGGCTAAGGAAGTGGGCTGAGAATCATGTGACATGTGGTAAAGGCCTTGTCGTAAATTAGCCATACCAATCCTCCTCCCCGAAACAAGGTCCTGTAAAACACACGAAGCAGAGGAAAAAGATAGGCAAATAGGCATTGTGGTAGTTAATTTGCTGACCGAAATGAGATTGAAAGAGAAGGAGGGAACAAATAACACATTCTCAAGGGTGAGAGTGTCAGAAAAAGTTATTGTCCCAACATGAGTGGCTGGTACTTGGACACCCGTAGGAATTGTGACAAAGACATTATAGACTCTTTTATAACTTGTGTATTTGTCCATAGTGCAAGTTATATGATCGGTTGCACCTGTATCCAATATCCAAACATAGGCTAGTGGTTGATGGGAAAATTGAGTACCTGCTGGATTTGTGACTGACGATACAAATGCGGCTGCATTGTAAGGGGAAGAGGTTGATAAATGACCTCCAGAACTTGATTGTCCAGTGGATGTTCCAATTGGATCGCAGACATAAGCTTGAAGTTGATCATATTGCTCCCTTGATAGCCTCAGATTAGAGAGAGTTCCTGTGATCCCAGGTGATCCAGTTGGTGGGATAGTGACTGCTGAATGTGCTTGCCCTCGATATTGGTTGTTGAAACTGGCTGGTCTGGGAGTATAAACAGGTGGGTACCCATTTCTTTTGTAACATTGCTCTATGGTGTGACCATTGAATTTACAATATGTGCAAAAGGGTCTTCTTCCCATTTGGCTAGAGCCAACAGCATCATAGCTTTGATTATGTGGTCTGATTGGCCTGCTGGGTCTAGGTGTGCGGTAGTGGACCCTACTGCCTTCAAATCTTGGCTAACTCAAGCCAAATCCTTGTGGTTGTACAGGTGCTAACATGGCCATAGGATCAACAGCCTTGATCTGCTGGAAACTTCCAACAAACTGCCTCTCAAGTTGCATTATTCGATGGAACACAGAGTCCATATCAGGTAACACATCAGACATGAGAATTTGTGATCTAGCAGAGGAATAGTTGTCATTCAATCCACGAAGAAATTGGATAATAGAATTAGTTTCCTGATAACTTTTCAGCTTAAGAACAACCTTGCAATCTAAACATACCACTCCGCCATTGCAGTCACAATCAGGTAGTGGTTGGTACTCCATTAACTCATTCCACAAGGTCATCAAATGAGTGTTGTATTCTGATATGGATCGGGTACCTTGCTTTAGAGTAGATAATTCTTCCTGTAACTCTGAGATGCGAATCAAATCTCCTTGACCATATCGTTTCTTGAGGTTTTCCCATGCTTCTTTTGCTGTCTTGAACTTTAACAAACTTTTCCTGATGTTGTCAGCTACAGCTAACCTAATCCAGCCCAGGACCGTGGTGTTGCAACTGATCCAAGGCTGATATAGAGGATCTGTGGATGAAGGCATAGATAGTGTGCCGTAGATAAAAGGTAACTTGTTTTTTGAAGATAAAGCATTGATCATAGAGACACTCCAATCATTGTAATTTGCTCCTGTGAGTTTTTCAGGTACAAGAAGTAATGTCGGATTTTCTCCCCCATGAAGAAAGTATGGATCTGAAAGAGGGTAATGAGTGGTAACTGGTCGTGGATCTGCCATGATCAACAAGAAAATGAAAGATGATAAGGTAAAGAGGAATTGAATAAATGAAAGCTCATGAAACCCTAGAAGGGCGGCTCTGATACCATAATACAAGAATGAGTTTGTGAGCTTTCAACTTGATTTCCTCTTCTCTGTGGTTTCCTTTTATATATCAAAACAAGAACAGTCCAAGTCATTGGAAGCTACAGGTGTACAAAGGAAAGACATGGAGTTAAGGGCTTAAAGCCTTATGGGCCGTTCAGGCCTAGAGACAGAGTTATGGGCCAATTCAATTGATTCTAAATGAGGGCCCGTTGTATCAAGTTCTGCAGCTTTATCTTGTTCCCATTCTTCTTCAACACTGGAAATCTCTTTCTCTTTGTCGACATAAACCAGAGAAGCCATGGACAAAGGTTGAAAGGGTTCATCCTCTGTTACCCCTCCCGGTTGTCGTATCTTTCTACCTCGATCAGAATCAAGCTCAGAAGCAAGCCCAGGCCAACGGAAGCAGTAGTTTCTCCGCCGATAGCACGCCGCCTCTCCGTCCATCATTGCATGTAGCTTCTCCGCCGATCAGTCCCCTATCCCAGCTCGTCCAAACGGTAGTTCAGTAGGTATGGATAATCGAGCCACGAGTTTCTATTTCTTATCGGTCGCGACTCATATGCGGCGTGTAACTTTGGGACCAGCATGCTTTGTGTTGTTCTAGGACATGGTTATTGAGTTAGGAGGACTAGTTGTAGTTGAATATGGGCGAAATTGGGTTCACTGTGTTGATCTTAAAATGGATAGAATTAGCTACGTATGGGCAAGGTTATGGCTCCTATACCGGACAACTCCAAGCCGGAGAAGAAGGGGCGTTTGCGTCGCGTTGCCCCCAAGATCATTGCGACGGTCAATCAGGCGACGCAGGTCGTGGGGGGCAGTGGAGATCCTACTCCGATTACGAGACATGCGCCTCGTTCTGCTCGGAAACCTCAAAAGGGACGTTTCATTCATGGTGAGGGGAGCCATGCACGTGGCGGAAAGGATGCTGGGCCCCCTCCCCACTGCACTCAGCCATGCCCTATCGGCTGGAGCGGAAAATGTTGGGGAAATCAATGGGGAGAAGGGGGCTTGTGCGAACATACCGCCGGTCAATGCCGTGGCAAATTTGGTGAGGAATACTTCCCATGAGAGGAGTGACACTCGGGGATGGATGATGAGAATCAATGTTTTGAAATAAAAAAATGTGTCTCGGTGCTTTCCTCGGTGGACCATGGTCAGGGCATGGTGGGTAAAGTCTCCCAAGTCGTGGCGGCTTTCAAGGTAGGGTTGGCTATTGCGCAGGATAATGAGGATCCGCACACGATCAAAAGTAAAGCACCGAAAGATGGAATGCACGAGCAGGGGGCCGAGGTTCTTGATGAATATGGGTAGAATATGACCAACCCAGTGATTGAGACCCGCAAACGCTCTTTGGCAGCCGTCGAGGGTGAAGTTGGATCCCCTCCCACCCCAAAGAAGTACTTTGTGGAATTTGCTGATGTTTATGACAAGGAAAAGGTGGAGGAAGCCAGCCTGAAATGGCCCGAGTCAGATAAATGAGGCTTCTCGCCTCGAATGTGAGAGGGATTGGATCGTCCCTCACATTCCAAACTGCTGTAGGTTTAGTTCGTTCTAATAAACCGGATCTCGTGTTTTTTTCTGAAACATGATCGAGCCGGAGTGTTGTTTCCCGTCGTATGCGTGGTCTTGGGCTCTTGGATTTGATATTTCGCAGTGTTTTTTTGTGGATGCGATTGATGCGTCCGGTGGTCTAATAGTAGCTTGGTCCCCCGGAGTTGATGCTTCGGTGTTTTATCATTCCAACTTCTAGCTCCCAGATTAATGAAGTGGATATTTCTTATATTGTGATTTGTGTTTATATTAGTTGTCATTCTGTTATTCGAACCGCCCAATTGGCTCACCTTCAGGAGCTTTGCTCTACCCTTACACTTACTTATGTGGTCATCAGAGATTTCAACTCTACCCTTCATATGAGTGAAAAGGACGGTGGTAGCCCTTGGAATGCAGCTCAGTCAATTAGTCTGAGGGATTTTATCCAGGACCTCGGGATCCTTGATCCCGGATTCCTTGGTGATCCGTTCACTTGGACTAATAGGAAGATGGGTGTGGCTTGCATTCGTGAAAGACTGGATCGACCTCTTTGTTCCCAGAAATGGGTTGCTCGGTTCCCGGAAACCTTGGTGAAGCATTTCACGGACCAAGGCTCTGATCATCGAGCTCTCCTTTTCTGGTTTGATGCCCGGTGGGCTGATTATCCGGAAGTAAGAGCTATGGTTTGCTATGTCTAGCAGGAGGATATACAAGGGACCCCATGTTCTGCCTTTGGGAACGTCTTAAGCGACTCCGCCATTTGCTCTATGACTGGAGTAGGGCAGGCACTACGATCTCCTTACGGAATATCAAAGCTCTCCAGAGTGAAATTGATAGGGTAAAGCTTATCCATCCCATTGACTGAGATGAGGTCAGAAATCTGGAGAAGGAATTAAATCACCAGTGGGAGGCGGAGGAGGCGTATTGGCAACAAAAGTCTAGGGTTCACTGGCAGAAAAAGGGTGATAAAAATACTGCCTACTTTCATACAGTTACCAGAACTCGTCGTAAAAAGAATTTTGTGGAGGGCCTTAGTGAGAATGGAGAGTGGATTACGGATGAGACTAGTAAGGCAACCATTGCGACCTCGTTTTATCAGCAACTTTTCACAACGGAGAACCAGGTGGCTAACATGGCTGAGCGTGTGGCAGTTTTGCCTATTGCTCGGACTGTTACTCCTGAGATGAATGCTAGCTTAACCGCGGAGGTTCTCCATAGTGAAGTTCGCAAAACGGTGTTTGCTATGGGGTCGAAACAAGCGCTTGGGTCGGATGGTTTCACTGGTAAATTTTTCAAAACCTTCTGGGATATTGTGGGAAGTTCGTTTGTGGACGCGGTGTGCTGGTTCTTCACGACAAGTCGTTTACTCCGTAGCTTCAATCACACTTGGCTTACTTTGATCACGAATGTTGATCAGGTGGAATCCATGCGGAAATTACGACCTATTAGCCTATGTCAGTTTGTTTATAAAATTATTACCAAAATCATGGCAGAACGACTTGCCAGTCTCTTGCCGCAAATTATCTCGGAGGGTCAAAATGCGTTTATCAGGGACCGGCAGATTGTTGAGAATATTCTCTTGGGTCATGAGCTAATGCATTATTTGAAAATCAAAACGTGGGGCAAGAAAGGGTACATGGCTCTAATGGTTGACATGGAAAATGCCTATGATAGAGTCGAATGGTCCTTTCTTCTCGTGATTTTGGACAAAATGGGTTTTAACTCTACCTGGAGAGGTTGGATCCACGAATGTCTCCGGTCTGTATCTTTCTCTGTCCTTATGAATGGCACTCCCTCGGGTTATTTCACCTCGTCCAGAGGCTTACGGAAAGGGGATCCTTTATCCCCTCTTTTATTTGTGTTATGTACGGAGGGCTTTGCGGCACTCCTTCGAAAGGCTATCCTGGATGGTCGGCTAGAGGGGGTAAAAGTGGCTCCTCGCGCGCCCCGAATCTCCCATTTATTCTTTGCCAATGATTCTTATCTATTTTTGAGGGGTACTCTCTAGGAATGTGAAAATTTGATAGAGGTTCTGAATGAGTATGAGGAGCTGAGTGGCCAACGGGTGAACCTGGATAAATCGGTTGTTTGTTTTAGCCGGAATATTGTCCGTGCGGATCAGGAGTTTTTGGCTGCTATTTTAGGAGTGGGAGTTGTAGGGGTCCATGACAAGTACCTTGGGTTACCCACGCTGTTTGCGCGTTCAAAAATGGCCACTTTCAGGTACCTCGAGGAGAATTATTCGAACGCCTTCAAGGGCGGAAACAAAAGACCTTATCTTGGGCAGCAAAGGAGACACTGATAAAATCTATCGCTTTGGCCCTGCCATTGCATGTGATGTCCTGCTTCAAGTTACCTGTCTTGTTGTCTCGCCTGTTGGACAAACATGTAGCCCGCTTATGGTGGGGTGATGTTGTGGACGAATTTCGTATTCATTGGATGTCCTGGCAGAATATGTGTCGTAGTAAGCATGATGGTGGGTTGGGGTTTCGACGCTTTGAGCAATTTATTCAAGCGCTCTTAGCTAAAATAGGGTGGCGCATTCTTATGGAACCCCAGTCCCTGCTGGCTTAGGTTTATAAAGGCAAATACTTCCCGAGAGGCACATTTCTTGAAGCAACGGCTAGATCTTTCCCTTCGTGGGGCTGGCAAAACATCCTTTATGGCAGGGATTTGCTGATGAAGGGTCTGCGATTAGAGATGGTCATTCGTTTATCGGTTTCCGCTTGACCGGCCGGTTAAACCGACAACCAACGATTACCGGTTAACCGGTTAACCGAAAAATGGGCTGTCGGGCAGTTGGCGGTAGCAGGGCTAGCCATGCCGGTTAACCGGCTAACCGACACGACTATCCCCTCTCAAAATGCCGCCGCCCAGAAACTCCCTAAACCCTAATCGTCTCAATCCCTCAATCTCTTCTGCAGCATCGCGAGAGCCGAGAGTGGAGAATGCCGCTGTCGCCTGCCACTGCGAGAGTCGAGACGCAGAATCCCCTTCCTTCCGCCGCCGCGAGCCCGCAGTCCGCCGGTGCCAGTGTATGCCGCGGTTACAAATCCTTCAGTCTTTTGATAATGACTGCTGCAATGGGCGGGATTCTACCCAGATTCACTGCCATGATTCGAGTTGATATTCTTCCCATCAGATCCAAACCCTTGAGGTCTTGATTTCAG